TCACTGAAAGCTCGGCTTTCCTTCTAACTGCAGTTTTTAAATACTGCAACTCATTATTGTTTCATAATTCGGTGTTAATATACATGCTTACGTGTCATGTAGAAAAAAAGGTAATCTAACCAATTTATAGTATAAGACTCTACAGCATTTGTTGGAAATGGCAATTATTTTTCGAATCTCAGGCATTGTTGCAGCTTATAACGATGTTAAGATAGCTCCACTTCATAGTTTCCAAAATATGGGCGTCAGCAGTTAGCTGACTACGTAAATGACATATATACCTACTGGCAGTCAATGTAATCTTCAACAGTTAAGAAGTTACTATGTCCGAAGCTTCGCACGATATTAAAATAATCTTGTTCTTATCTCAAGCAATCGATTATAAATACGATCAACTATCAGGCTCGAATGCTACTTTAAAATAAATATTTTTATAATATTGTTAATTCAAGATTAGACAAATTTGCTGATTGAGGTCCAGATCTCAGAAAATAAGGTCCAGGTCCAGAAAATAAATTTACTTGAGCTGGTTGCTTATTATTCATATCTTTACGACTAAATAATTATCACCACAAGTCTTAATCATCAATAAAAACGTTCCGGTGAAGGTTTTACTAAGTTTAATACAGAACTTTCCCTGATACTCATATTTGTAACTATAATGCAAATATACTGTCACTTGAAACGCAATATTATGGTTTCTATTCATGCAAATGTAACGACTGGACTAGATGGCCTCACTACAAATACATATTTATAAAAGTTGCTGTTAAATTTCGAACGCCCATAATTTGTTTGTATATAAATATATATAGTTTTTAGTTTATTAGTTAAAATAGTTGTTTTAAGATGTGACAGTTTGATGAGAATATAAGTTCCTATTCTGTGATATGTCGTTGTTCATACTTATGTTACTGGATAGATTTTAATTCCATTTTGTCCCTTAACTCTTATTGGGTTGGTATGCTGACTTTATGTGTAGCATTTAGTGGTGTATAAAACTAATGACTGGCTGGAAAAAGCAGCTCAGACTGTTTGGGATAATACAATTGCCTGCAGACAACCCAAAGAATCCATGCCGTTTCGATCAAAAGCCAGAACTAGGAAGCTACTAATGCTGAATAGAAGTGGTATCCGACTTGTCACAGGGTTTCTGGGCACTGCGGAGTTAAAAAGCATCTATCAAATCAAGGTATTACTAGAGACGATAGCTGCAGACTTTGGTGCGAAGAAGAGGAAACAGCAGAACACATTTTGTGTCACTGTGATAGTCTTGACTCAGACTTCGGTACTTATCCACTGCCTATCCGCTTATAACGCAATTAGGCAACATCTCTCTAAAGGACATATTAGCATTCTTACGAGTACCAGCGTCTATGGAACTGAAGTGGGTATGTCACAATAATCCTCTAAGGATGCAGTGACGCGGTGACAAGTTCCCAATCCATCTTAAAAATCTAATCTAATCTAGTGGTGTATATATAGGTTTCGGTCTAGTACTGCCACTATATATTGCATATTAGGCATACTTTGTTTTTATATTGGAGTGACCTTGCAGAGTAATGTTTTGTGGTATTTAATATATAGAGATATAATAATAGATATATATTATACGTATATATTATATGTATTATACGTATTTTTAATTGTTATATCACTAATATATTTTTCATTTTGGTTTTTGTTTTGTTCTTTGAGAATCAATATCTTTTTTAGTATTTTCACTTTATATCGTAAAAGACCGAGACAAAATATTGTAATCTAGTATCGTTGCTTAATATTTGCTTCATATTATTAAATAACTGTTAATTTAATAATAGTTTATATATATATAGACTCATATATAATAAGTAAATTCACACGCTTTAGCACAATGATTGGATTAGAAGCGGTTAAGCTTGTTTTTGGTTATTGCTTGTTGACAAATATTTTCAGCTGGTAGCCACTTCTCGCCACTTCTCGCCACTCATGTTTTTGTAATACACAGTTATATGTTAATTCAATGTTAACCCATTAACGATCAATGCTGCACTTAGGTACCAGCAAACAATCTAATAAATTGGAACACTAAAGTCAACCTGTTATTTTTTATAGTCGATTACTATAGATGTACTCTTACATTTCACTAACAAAATGATCACTTTCACATCTTTAATCTTGTGTTTCAAACTTTAAGGAATGAAAATTTAATATTACGCGTAAAAAAACAAAACAGAAATAATTGTTCTAGTAAAGTCATTAATTTAGTGTAGTTTTATAGATTTTTTTCGTTATAGTAGACAGTATAGTAGAAACTAAAGCAAAGCAAACGATTAAGATACTCTAATTGTGTTGTATTATACAGATATGTGTATCATTCTCACGACACATTTGAAGGCAGCATCATTAATGGAGTATATAATAGTGAAGAAAACACAAAAAAAATTATAATTAATAAGAAAGAGCCTTCACATACTAAAAAACATAGACAGAACCATGAACAGGCAAGAGGACATTAACAATATTACCATCAGTTATCTGCTACTATTACTACCTTGACTGTATAATATAATTGTATTTTGTTCATATATTGTAAGTATTTAATATGTTATTATTTAATAATTGAACAGATTCCTGTATAAATAACCGCCCTATATGTTTCCAAAAGCAGTTATGATAGTACTGCGCTCTGCGGAAGAAGTCAAAGAAACTTCAAAACGTCTGTGATAGATATAGATATACTATAGAGATATATTGAAAAGTGAAGTATAACAACAAAAATGCTTTTTATATTGTTTTAATAAATTGAATTTTTAGCTGGCCATTCACTAATTTTTTGTTGTAGTTGACTATTTTTCGAAATATCTACCAAATATAGTAGTTTCTATTAAATAAATAGTCACTTCCGTCAAAAACTGTCGTTAAATTACAACTTATAATAAAAATATAAACTACTATGTAATAATAAAAACAACAATTAAAACTAATCTATAAGGTTTTATTCTTTTTTTCACTTCAGCCTATTTATCAATTATCAAAAATTAAAAAAGTCAATTGTCCAAGTAATATATTCTTGCGTGCCACACAGATGGTTCCTTACCACTGGTGGGGGGGAACAATATACAAATGCGGAGATATTGATTGTAATTCAATAACTGATTTTATTTACAATAAATTGGTCTTTTATACAAATTAAAATGCAATAATAATTGCAAGATATACAATATTTACTTAAACTAATTTATTATTTAATTCAGATGGACATCTTAATGGCGCCTTGTTCAATAGAGCCTTCCCTCCATGATGAATTTGTCGATCACTTTCCTCTTATCATTGATATATCAACACCTATTGAAATGAAGCCAACATCAGTCAGGTCGAATACAAATGTGGTCTAACCGTCTTTCACACAAATGCAGTATTCTCTTCGAAAGCTAGGTTGACCCATAATAAGGTTCTCAACAGGTCTTCGTTTAACATCTGCCAGAAAGAAAGACGTCCACGTACAACAAGGACTGTTCTAGCTTAATTGAGATAAGAGTATAGCCACGTGCTAAACAGTTATTTGTCATGCATAAACACGTCTATTTCTAATGTGTGCCCAAACTGTAGCTCTACCTCTACCCCTCATGACGTAGCCCATCTGTTCTCCTGCCCCTCTAAGCACATAAACCTCCGTCCAGTTGACCTTTGGACGTACCCCCATGAAATTGGTCAGGCTTCTGCTAACGTGAACCAACAACTAATCCAGACAAAAAGTTTCGTTCACTTATTGAATTTTAAACCTAACAATATAGCTGTTTCGAGTATTGATAAGTACCTTTCAATAATGGTCTTTGGCAATAGTGATAGGTTCTGTTAGTCCGTATATAATTTTTATAATGCAGTTGTGTTGGTTCGTTATTTTAAAAACACATATATTGGACATCTTTAAATTGGTCGCTGTGTTTTTTCTAAGAGAAGAGTTTTTGAAGAGAAAAATTCAATTAAAGTAATCAAATTTTTTTTTAAATATTGCTCTTTCTAGTTTTATTTTTACGTATAATTAGGCAGAATTACATCTGAAATGATATCCAAATGCTGAAGATTATTTTGTCACTTTTGAGAAACACGTCATTTGGATTGAAAACAAATTTTTGATGACTTGATATCTTAAACTTCTACGATCCGCAACCTAATGAAACATATTATAACTGGTGATAAGACATGGCTATGTGAGTTCGACACGTAATTAATCTTTGGAATATTATTCCGAAAACCAGACGAAACCCCAAAAAAATCACATTAAAGCCCCTGATAGTTTTTTTTTTTTTGAAACACCGTAGTACACTCCAAATTTCTTCTAAAAAGACAAAGGAAGAATATTCGTTAAAAACAGTTAGATTCATAGGGATTTCATCACAATTATGTAAGATCGCACAAACTCATCTTAATAAAAGTTGAATCGATAGTCCAAACAACGTATTCTCTTAACATGGCTTATATGAATCATGACGCTAGTCTGACCACGTCTATTTTCGTGATTTGAATCGATTGTGAAAATTCGTTGAAGAAGCTAAAAGTCATACCTAAATCAGTCTGCCAAAAATGTATGGATGATTAAAGGCTACAAGAATTTTATTTCATTTAATAGTTCTGGATACTTTTACACAAAATATACTTAAAGAAAAACTAATATATGCTTGTTGCAATGTTGTAAATATACTAAATATTTTATTTTATATCATTAAAAAAGAGTCAGTGGTAGCTGGTATCATTTATTCTGCTATCATTTAAAAGATACTCTTAATTTAACTTTAACGAAAGTAACTTTTTTAGATATTTTTAAATTCTTCTTTTTAATTTAAAAAGAACCAAATGCAGAATCTTCTCTGGGCATATTTTTATGCATCCCTTAGTTAAATTTTTGAAATTTTTAAATGAAGTTAACCTAGATTAAGACGATTTAACGTATTTGTAAGAAATAGTTTCTTGTAAATATATCATGGAATTTTTACTAACATTTTTTATTATATTTTCAGGCCGACGTTTTTGCAGATGAAACATTGTTTGCACATTCAATGGGACAATTAATGCCGGGTGTACAACCATCATCGAACTTACACGTTATAAGAAATAATCAATGTGGTGATTTGCGTGACATTCCAACAAAAAAATCCAAACATATTGATGAAGCGTCAGTAGTTCAGCTCGAGTATCAACGTTACCATACCTTTATGTACGCACATTGTGCTCAACAGCAACGATTGGGGCAAATGTCAGCTTTTAGGCCATGGGCATCTTCAAAATTTTTAAATACTGTTTCATATAATGCAGCTGCAGTAGCATTATCTACTCTGCCATATTTAAGTCAAGAGCCACCAGTTTTACAAAACCCAGAGCGTGTTGTTCGCAATACAGATCGTGGTCGCTTTGAGCGTACGTATCAACCTAATGTTGCGTTAGCTCCTCGTAAAATCACATTGACTAAAGACCGAGAAAAAGAACAGCGAGAGTTGAAAGAATATGAGAGAGAAAAAGAAAAACAGAGAGACCGAGAAATAGAGCGAATGGAACATGAGCGAGAACAAGATATGGGACCTGTTAAAGATTGTTTTGTGGAACAAGATCATCAAAAAGAAGTCGACCATGATATACGTTCTCGATATAAGAAACAATACGCTCAAATCGAAAAAGAAATAAAAAACCATCAGCAACATCATAATACAGCAGCAAACTTTTGCGAAACTGAAGTACACATAAAACAAGAACGTGCCAATACACCAACAGAAGCATCTGAACCCCAAACACCTAATAATATTGCACTTGAAGGAGATTTATTGGATATACGTACCAATGGACCAATAAATGAAGAAGTAACAATTCCAATGATCTCTTCAATATCATTAAGTACAAACCCACTTCATTCTAAAAATCATATGGATTTATTGATGTATCGACGACCTTCATTACATACTTCAAATTCTTCGACCTGTTCAAATTCATCATCTACCGATTCGATATCATCACCCCAGCAGCAGATGTTGCATTCACATTTTACTGTACCAGTACAACAGCAACAGCAACAACAGCAACAACAACAACAACGGCACGTGAATCATGCGTCTATGCAATTTGTACATGTTAGGCGATTGTCTTGCTCACCCACATCAAGTCATACTCGTAGTCCCGAAGAATTTTCCAGTTCAAATGAAATAACGTCATCTACTTCCCCAGCGCTTTGCAACACAAAAATGATTGAACATACTGAATATTCGCAACAACAAGATAATATACATCCATCACAAGTTGATACAGAGCCATCGCAAACAATTATATCGACTGTGAATCAACACAAAAAACTACTGCCAACTTCAGTGTCAGCAACATTAAGTGGGAACAGTATTAGTTGTAACAACAATAACAGCAGTATTTGCAACGAAATGCCAAATCGTATTCGAATAAGTAAGAATTTAATAAGTCAACCAAATATAATAAGATCACCAACACCACCAATTCCACCACCTCCGAAAAGTTTTCCTCAACAAAACCAACAACAATATAATCAACGATCACAACAAAATCAATTTCAACAAAAGCCACAGCAGCAATGCGAATATTTCAAACACAATCAGTCAGAAAACGACCACCATGCCTCATTTTCAATTAAGAAATCATGTGAACAACAAGAGCAACAGTCTTCCAAAAATGCTGGGCTTAATCTTAGCATTAATTCGTCAAATTGCATATTTCAACAGCATGCAGACCTTTTACATAACCAACAAAATGGTTCAACGCATATTGGTAGTGAGTTGGAGTTATCGACAGACACTGACGATGAGAGCCTTAACGGAGATTTGGATAGTATCAATGTGTTGGTTCCATGGGAACTAGCAGCTGAAGCGTTACGTGACACGCGTCCCAAAGATCGTGAATGTATACTTAAACTACTGCAAAAACTGTTTCATGAAAATCAACGACACCGTTTTAACAGTGTTCAACTCAATAATATACTGCAAAAGAGAGATGCGCACATCCGCGAATTGCGGGAACAATTACAACAATGTCGAAGACAATTGGAGGCGTACAGATTACAGCAGCAAAATGGCAAAATTGTTACAAATGTTGCAAGCAGTGATACCGATGAAGTTCAGTCGGCTCTCAATTTTAAGCGTGAACAAAAACTCTCTGATAAAATAGCAACAGAAACAACAACACAGCAATCGGTAATATCCCTAAGTAAGACACAATTCAATACGCAACCTCAACAACAACAGCAAGAAAAACTAAACCACAGTAGTGAAACCCATGTTGTTAACCATAACAGAGGCATGGTACACGAGGAAAGTGTACAAGAAGTGGATGTGAGCACAACAAATTTAGACATTTTAAGAATGAAAGATTATAACAAAGTTATAAATAGAAATGTCACATCAAATATTGATGTAGATCCAGATAATATAGATAGTTCTAGCTCAGATGAATATAACAATAAAAATCATCAACAGGACCATGTTGAAAATTACGGCAGCAAAGCAAACGAAGCTTATGTCGATGTCATAGTATCAAATCTAAATGCCATACAGCAGACTGAATCCTTTCATACGAAAGACAGCGCTGACAATGATTACGAAAGGAACAAAATTGACGAGGAGAATAGCCAAAAGTGTTTAAAAATTCTACATAGTACTGAAATGGAAGCAGCTCCTACATCGGTAGAACCCAATATACTGGACTCAACCACAACTACAACTGCAGGTCAGTTGTTCAAAAACAGCTGTAATAGTGATAATATATTTTTACAAAAAACCCAAATGTCCGCATCGAGAGTACTGTCGAATATGTGTGCAGATGCTGAAGGCAACGAAATTATACACGGAAACACACAGAGTAAACAAAGTAAACAAGTAGATAATATTAATATTAATAAAAGTAGCAAAGAGATCTTTTATAACAATAACAGTAACAGTAACAGTAATAGTAACAGTAAAGATAGTAGTGAAAATAATACTTATAACAAAAATCGTCACGATAAAAAAAATAAAAATAAGATTAAGGAAAGAAACCGAGATAAATGCAAAGAGAAACATAGGCATAGGGAACGTAACAAAGACATAAATAATTGTAGACATAGACACAAATATAAGGGAAAAGATAGAGACAGCGAGTTAAGCAGAGAAAAAAAGATGCGAAAGGAGCATATTGATAAGATAATGACTTCAAGAAACATACCTATGGCAAGAGCAACAGCTAAAGCCGTACCAAAAATTGCAACAAAATTCAACAAGAAACTAACAACGAATTGCGATATACAAATCAAAACAGAAAATTATTAAATTCATAGCTTAACTGTAAGTTAGTAAACGCATACATTACATTACATTAATGGAAAGTTAATTACAAGTGCAAGTACTTGAGTATTGTATTTTAATACCTTGTTAATACTAAAGCTTTTGATCTCTATCTTTTATTTCAATAATTAGATAACCCATTTATTTTATTATATTTGATATGTGTGTGCGGCTTTTAGTAGTTTATTGTATTTGGTATGGCATGCTAAAGCTTTTTAAGTTCTCCATAAATAAATGTCCCTTATGCTTTAAGTTGAGACTTAATGATACAACCACCTATAAACATATGTATAAAAATATATGTAAAGTGATGGTTATGTAATTTTTATATTTAACAAAAATGACATTATATATATATTCTACATATACATACATTTAAAATTGAACGCGTTAATAGTAAATTAATTAAAATAAAATTATATATATATTGACATATACGTATTATAGTAGTGATCTGTGAGATTTACACCATTAGTTTATAAAACTGCATATAAAAGTAATCACTATTAATATCGTTATAAATAATAAGAAAAATTATACGTTTACAAAACAATACATTCATTATTTAATAATTAATAGTCGCTCTATTTGAAAAAGTGTACCATACATCATTTTTGTTCTTGTATTGTGCTTATGATTATTAGAATTTATTATGATTATAATATGTTTATATACCAGTATGTTTATATTAACAAGCCTAGTTTAAAACTTGCTGCTTATATATGTATATATACATATATTATATTATATATATATATAATATATATATATATATAATATATATATATATATATATATTATATTATCGGACCTATTCTGTGCACTTGACAGATTTGTCAAATTCTTTAATAAAATTTTTGATTTTTATAAAGCAGAAAGCTTTTTGGTATTCTGGACACATCTTGACAAATTTCAAAGCTCAAGTACCTAATGCTTCTCACCACACTATGGTGTAAAGTGTTTTGTATAGAAAAGTGTTCGTAACTGTTCGTAAAAAATGCTTGTAAAGAGCACATATTTTAAGTTGCCAAGAGCATTTTTCATGCATTCAAATAACAATAAAAAATATGCTTGTAAAGAGCGTATATTTTAATTAAGAATATTTGTCATGCATGCAAAAACTAAAAAATGCTTGTAAAGAGCATATTTTTTATAGTTGTCAACAGCATTTGTAGTATTGATAACTAACAAGGAAAAGAGCTTTTTATTTATGTCACAGAATACCAATACCTTTACAGCAGTCAATTTTGACAAGTGTGAATGTTTGACAAGTTTATAAAGTGCACAGAATAGGTCCGTATATATATATAAATTATATATATATAAATTATATATATATATAAAATTATATTTAAACTATTGAAATGATAAATTTGTATTTTGTAGATAATACAATCATTAACTATATATTGCAAATATGTATGTTATACGAGTATGTATTGTATATAAAACGAAAATTACAAACGTTCTTTATTTATCAAAAAGTTTACATACAAATTGCTTATGCATGTTAAAAGCTATATTGTGCACATCACATATTATCCTTTAAAATTCTATATAGGATAAAGCATATATAATGTATAATATTAAAAACTGAATGAAAAGGTCTATTACTTGCAATCATTCTAAATTTATCGTTGCGTTTTTGCAATTTGGAACAGTTGTAGAATTCTAAAATGCTTGACTACAAATATTAGACATCAGTGTGGAGTTACAGTTTAGTATATAGAGTCAGACGCTTCCATAACAAAGTCGTTGAAAAACGTTTCGTTATAGACCAGTTCGAAGTTAAAAAAAATTTGATTTTACGTCATTTTACATTGTTTTGAAAATATATTTTATTTCTATTTATCTATTTATTTATTTATTATTTATATATTCATTATTTATTATTTATATATTCATTATTTATATATGTTATATATATTTATTATTTATATATTCATTATTTATATATGTTATATATATTTATTATTTATTTATTTATTATTTATTTATTTATTATTTATTTATTTATTATTTATATATTCATTATTTATGTACATATTATTTATATATTTATTATTTATATATTTATTATTTATATTTTTATTTATTTATATTTTTATTTATTTATTCTTTATATATTTATTTACTTATTATTTATATATTTATTTGCTTATTATTTATATATTTATTTATTTATATATTTATTTAGTTATATATTTATTTATTTATATATTTATTTATTTATATATTTATTTATTTATATATTTATTTATTTCTATTCATGTCTAGTTATTTCTATTTATTTTTATTTATTTCCATTTTTTTCTATTTATTTTTCTTTATTTCATAGTTAATAGTCCTTAAATATATATGGCAACAATTGTTTGACTTAACTGCCAGAAGTTTCTAGATCAGTGATGCCCATCCCGTAACACTTTTAGCCAATTTGCTTTTATTTGCTATATAAGTTCCTCTAATTGAGTGCTTTGTTGCATTTGATATGCCCGTACATATAAAAACTTTTTTGCAGATATGTCAGACGATTTGGAAAAATTTTATTTAATATATAAATAAAATATTTAATTCAAATTTATATCGCAGGAAGCAACTTTTATAGCGCACAAAACTGTTCACACATTTAGACACATATCCAGATTCTGACTTAATATAACTCTGATATACCAGGTGTACCGGTATGAAATGAGCGTTTTTTGGTGAAAATAAAACACTAATTATTAATAGGAAAGTAAAAAACATTTTATTCAAAGTATTGGCCATTGCTTTCTACACATTTTGACCACCTTTCTGGCAATTTGTGGATATCACGCCAAAAAAATTGTTCGTCTTTTAAAGCAAACCAACCAGACACCCAATTTTCGACCTCCTCATAGGAATCCATTTTTCATCGCCAGTAACAATCCGATGCAAACCCGATTTTCTTTCGTGTCTTTGAAGCAAAATTTCACAAGTGTTTTTTCGGTTTTCCATCTGTCTTTCATTTAATTCATGTGGCACCCATTATCCACACTTTTGGATCTTTCCCATAGCTTTAAAACGGTCAGAAATTGTTTGTTGTGGATCATTTAACATTTCTGCCATTTGCTTTTGACCCAAAGTGTCATCTCCATCCAATATCGTTTTCAATTCGGCGTCTTGAAACTTTTTTGGCGGTCTTCCACGTTCTTCATTTCTCACATCAAAATCATTATGTCTGAACCGTTGAAACCATCTTTTGTATGTTGCTTCTGATAGAGCATGATCACCATATGCCTCGACAAGCATTCGATGCGACTCTGCGCCACTTTACTTCAAATGAAAACAAAAAATTAATGCTTTCCGCAAATCATCACTTTCTGGTACAAAATTCGACATTTTTAACACGATGAAAAAATATGATGTTGTCTGTTCAATGACTTGATGTACACTAAATATATTTCACACATTTCATAGCAAACAAACAAAAAGAAATAAAGGCTCGTTCACAACAAATGCTCCCTGTCGGAACATTTGTATCTTTACGCTCGCTTCATACCGGTACACCTGGTAGTCACTTATGATCTTAATATTTTAAATATAACAGTTAGTATATACCTGCATATTATACTCTTGTTATCAAACATTTCCTCTCATAACTCCTATTGAAAATGGACACCCTTTACTCACCAAACTGATAGCTTTGAAGGATGATAAATTCAAACCAAACAAATCCAAATTTTTCTTTATATTGTTTTTCTTGTTGTTGTTGTTGTTGTTGTAGCCCGCCGGGACCTGAAAGCAGATAACATGTAAGGATTACAAGACGAATACATGGGAATAAGGAATGGAAAAGGTGGGAGTGGGTGTTGGGATGAGGGAAAGGGGAGGGGTGGGAGTAATTTGAACCAAACCAGGATCCAGTCGAAGAAACCTAGCAACTTCAAGGGGACGAGTCCAAAGGTCGATTGGACCAAGATTGGTGTGTGCGTTGGGGCAAGAAAACAGATGGGCGACGTCATGGGGCGTGGAGCTGCAGTTTGGGCACACATTAGGAATGGACGTATTAATACGTGACAAGTAACTGTTAAGCACATGGCTATATCCTGATCTCAATTGAGATAGGACAGTTCTTGTCGTACGAGGCAGATTACGTTCATCCTGGGAAATGTTAGGCGGAGGCCTATTGAGGACCTTGTTGGGAGCCAACCTAGGTCTCGAAGAAGATACTGCATCGGTGTGGAGTGCTATAAGTCCACGTTTGTATTCGACCTCACTGATGTAGGCTCCATTGCAATATTGGTCGTTGTTTGTTTGTTTTTCTTGTTGTTTTTTTTTCTTTTTTTTTTGTCTTTTTGAAATTATTTTTTATTATTTCTTTTTAAATTTATGTTTTTCTTAATACATATTTTTTTAAATTCTTTTTGTTAATATATACTTTTATACTTTTTTTTAATAATATTTTTTTAATATTTTTGTTTAATATTTTTTTTTAATATATTATTTTTTTAATAAAAAAAATGTTATTTGCTTTAAATTATTTTTTTTAAATATTTTTATTTGTTCTTAATTTTTTTAAAATTTTATATTTTTTTACTTTTTTGATACATTTTTCACATATTTATTTTTCATAGTTTTTATTTATTTACTTTTTTTTATATTTTTTATATTTTCATTATTTATTTTTATATATTCTTGACCTTTAATATTTTTTTTATTATTTATATTTTCTTTATTTTTGATATTTTTTTGTAAATTCTTTTTTTTTATTCTGTTATTAGTGTGTCTGGGCACCATTCCTACATATATATTCTTATGTATATATTTTTTAAATATTTTTTTATTCATATTTTTTATATATTTATTTATTTGTAAGTTAACACTAAAATTAACTAAAAATAAAGAACTGGAATACTTGCGCCCGATTTTATATATTATTTATATATATATTTTTTTCCGTAATTTTTAATATATATAATATTTTTTACATTTTCTTTTTTCATAATTTTTGATATATAAATTATCTCTTATATATATTATATATATGTTAAATAGAACCATAAAACTGTTTTTGTATAAAAATTATTAATTGTTAAATATTCAAGGCTAAAGGTACAATCTGAATTTCATCTCTCTATACCGATATGTTTCTTTTATAAACTATTTAATCTAATATGTTAATATGATCGAACTAGTCGGCGGTCACTTTAAAAGACCGCCAGTGTTAGTTATCATATGATAGTTCAATAAATGAAACTGTAATTGCATACGTGATCAATATAGTCACAG